TACCAGATGGCTCCTTCCACTTCCTGGCTGTGTAGAGTGAGCTAGAGACCCAAGGACAGGGGTTGCAACGACCAAGCACTTTAATAGGCTCATCCTCCTGCTGTGAGATGGACTAATTTGGATCTCTGTCATTGTGTGTTTTGTCTGCAAGCCTTCAGACTCTGCATCCAAGCTTTAGCCTCTCCCTACTCAATGAGTTAGGAAAAATATCCTTGCATGTTCTTAGCTCCCAAAATGCCCCTGGTGGGACTCTCCAAGCTGTACCCTGGAATATTCATGCCCCAGCTGACTAGTATGGCTATGTACATTGTTACCTAGATTGCAGGTAACTTTGTGGGTAGCCTACTGATAACAGAGGCAGAAACAGGCCTACAGCCCTCCCTTTTACCTGCTTGCATGTTAACATGAAAACAAGCATTTATCCCAAAGTCTATCCAGCTACCCACAACAACACAACAGAAACTCTCACCTATACTGGCTGGGGAGACTTGAGAGGTGGCACACAGATTGGCAGCAGGTCTTCTTGAATTTGCTGAGTTCTCCAAATTTCCCTGCAGCCTATACCCAAGATGGCTGGTTTTAGTATTCTAATACATGACCTTTGATTGGCTGTATTTCAGTGTTTCTGTTTCACACATCTCTTGTGGATTTGGAAGGTATCAGTTAGTTAGGATTTATATATAGTTTATTATCTCTTTTCCCTCCCCGCTGTGGAATGCTGCTTCTGTTTCTTCTTTACCCTACTTTATGGTCTTCTCTGACAGGCTGTTTTTGTTTTTACAAACTATCTAAGCATTTTAACAAAAATATATCTAATATAGCAAAAAAACATTAATACATACAGGCTGCTTGCAGACATAAAAAATACAAAACCAAACTGGTGCTTTAATTTAAACTCAGCATGTTCCCATGCCAAGTCCCACACATGCCCAGAAGAGGCAGTGTGTTACTTCAGCCTGGCTCACCTGACATTTATAAAGATTGGTGCTTTACTGGGGCTTTTTTGGCACTTTTATCTAATAGCTGATTGAATCAGCTTTAGCTAAAAGTGCCAAAAAGCCCTTCTGAAGTGCCTGATCTTTACAACTGCTGCAGAGCCAGGTTGAAATAATGCACTGCTGCATCCAAGAAAGCACATTTTTGTTTTTGGTTTTTTAACGTCTGCAAGCAGCCTTGGTTACATCAATCACTACTACTATATTATTACTACTTTAAGATAAAGCTATGATATAGTGTAGATGGATTATTTAAGATCTTCCCTAATCTCCTTTTAGGCTTTGTGCTTTGTTTAATTGTGTTTAATGGTTTCCTTGACTTGCCGACCAAGTTAGTTGTCACATCTGCAAAGGTTCATATTACGGTTACTCAGAGACAGGCTTTGGGCTTTCTGCTTATCAGCACTTCTGCAGCTTAGCCTAGGCCCCTTAAAAATGGCCAAGGCTGGCAACAACATAACATTTCCTCACCCCTGCACATGCCCTTGGGGATGCATTGGCTGGCAGCTCCCACAGCACCTGGGTTTCACCACCTAATGCACTCCTGTGTACTAAAGGCCTGATCAGGCATGCCCCAAAATCACTGGGAGGTGTACCAAGCCCTAAGGATGGGTTTTTCCATGTTGTAGGTGGTGAAGTGTGGGGAGGTAAATGAGGGAAGGATCCGGGATGCTCCTTGCATCCTCTTCTCCTTTTCCACACCAGGGCAACAGAGGACAGAACTGAGGCCTCAGGTTTGGTTTACTCCCTGGCTCTTCTGAGCTGTTAAAGGAGGGGTACAGCTTTAAGCATGGAGGTGGGAACTGGGGAGCCCCATGTTCTAATCCTTTGCTCAAATCCTTCTAGTAGTATAAGATGCTACAGAAACAGTGGTAAAGGCAAGATTACCTGTACAGAGATCTAGCTAAAATACCAAATCAAACTCAAACCAACTAAAATACCAAATCAAACTCATACCAAAAGCAAAAATGCTGCACAGGACCTTCACAGGCCCCAGGCCATTTGCATTTTGATCAGAGGTCTGGTACAAAAGGCAGCTTGATAACTACTGTTGCAGCCTCTATCAAGGTGTTTGGGCAACAGAACAAAGCTGCCTGGAAGGTGAGTGCCACCTCGTGGCTTAGGCTTGTTGATTCAGCACTAGGAGGCCTCCCCAGACTGCTCCAGTGGTTCTTGCAGAGTGCTAGTCACACGGTGCTAAATTCCTTTGGCGAACTGGACTAAAAGAGGTTAAGAATACAGAAACCCTTTGGTAATACTGCTCTTCCATGTAAGCAATGTCTGGAGTTGTCCCAGGAGTGTGATTACACTCAGGACAACCTGTCCTAAAACATGCTTCATCCTGGGGTCAAATTCCATAATCCTAACCTAGGACACCTGCAGCAATGCTCACATATAGCCCACAGCCCTGTAAATTGCATCCTGTGGGGTCTGATCTTGATGGCTAGCAATGACAGCATCTGATGACATAAGCTTGCTGCTTAGAAAAGCTTATGCCATGGACCTCTGATTTACTCTATAAAGTGCATACCTATTCTGCCTTTTGTCCAGCAATGGAAGGGTGTTAAGTCCACTCAGGGTTGGCTAGGATTGAAGCACTGGTTTACTGGGAGCATTTGCATTGCCCTTACAGTTTCTGCTCTTGACTTTTAACAAGCTAGCTTTGCTTTGTTGTAGTCATTGAATGACACCTGAAGAGCAAGTATAAAAGAAATGTCAACTACAGAGAAAATCTTTGTACCTTTCTGTCATCTGGTATGTGCTTGCAGACTCCATTGTATCCTTGTCCCACTCCTATTTTAATCTCTTTTCCTTTTCTGCCTTCCATGCTGCTGTCTCTCTTTTCCCCCATCGCTTTTCTATTCTCTTTTTTTTTCTTCACTTCATTCTGGTTACCAGCTTTCTTTGTCTTTCCAGCCTCCAGAGCTTTAACAGTTAGCTTGTTGATTATTATCTTCATTCTTCCCAATCTCTGCTCTTCTTTCAAGCAATTTTTCTGGCTATTTAATTTAGGAAGTACTGTAGTTTGTTCTTCCATTATGAAGCATGTAGGTATCAGAGATTTAGACACCGTAAGTGAAATTCTGATTCCTTTGACCTCAGTGGCAAAACTTGCACAGACTATAATGGGGCCAGAATTTCACCTTATGAGCTTGATGGTAAGACGTGTTGAATTTCATTTGACATCAGTGAAAGTGGTAGGTGCTTAGCCCTTCTGAAAATCAGATCCGAACCCTCTTTAATCTCCATTCACTTCACCTTCTCAGCCTCTCCCCTCTTGTTTCAGGTGGTTATTGTCTTTTGTACCTCCTGATTTACTGACAAGCATGTTCCTTTTGTCTCGGGTACTCCCCATCTCTGCTGCTGAGTCCTGCTATCAACCAGGGCATCCTCTGTCAGGTCTAGGTGCTGTAGTTCATGACTGAGCAGTCCCTTGAAGTGCCCTCAGGGCTCCTATTTATTGTTTCTGTTTGTTCCTCCCTTCTCCTACCCCATTCTCTGGGGAGCCTAATCCCTGAGCTAAAGTAGAGAGGAGGCTGTTGCTATGAAACCTTTGAAAGTAGAACCCGGGGAGAGAAAAACAAACCAGATCAACAGAGCAGCATTAACTGACAGAGAAGTAGAGCAGAGCTCTCAATCCCTGGTGACAGCAGGGAGGGTGGGGCACAGTAAAGTCATGGCAAAGATATGCATGGAAGGCAAGGTAGGAGAGCCTGATGCGAATGCTCAGTAGGAGACACTCCACACCTGTGTGAGACTGCATAGAGAAGCCCACTTTAGGGCCAGGTATGGAGACCACACTGCCAGCCAAGACAGAGCTTGAATGGGTTAAGTCCTCCTTTTTTATGCAAGGGAATTAATGGAGTGGTTTCCATAGGACACCAAGCATGGTCAGACTTGTGCTGCTCAAAGGGAGCTTCAGCCCCCAGGCCGATGGCCTGACCTGCATGTAGCATGGTGACGAATGCAGTCATGGGGTTTCTCAGGCGCAGGAACAGGGATCACGTGGGACAGATGTACAGCGAACATGGGCTAAAATGTAGGATGAACGCCAGGGGACACCCAGGCAATTGGGCTGGCCTTGGGCTTTGTGCTAGGGGGGTTGCCCGTGTGCAGTTTTGCCCACCTCCCTTGACAGTAAGCAGGGTTTGGAGCCTTGGGTATGTTTTGTAAATATATAAGAAATATAAGAAACTTTTAAGTAAGGAAGATCCCACCAGAAGAATCTCTAGAGCACACCTGGCTGCTGGGCCAGGATCCTAGAAGCACACTGTAGGCACTTGTGAGCAGAGCCCAGGGTTTGTGCTGTGTGTACACAGCACCTAAAGCACTGGGAAGCCAGGTGCTGCGGAGATAGCACGGGCTGTGTGGAATCGGACCCCAAGAGCAGTGGTAACAGCAAGGGCAGTGAGTGCAGCTGTGCCCCCGAGGGTTTGCCCCAGTGGGACGCTGGGGCAGGGCAGAGATGGAGCAGGAGTCCTGCCCTGGTCTGCTGCTCGTGTCACCTCATAGCCTGAGCATGTAAGATGCGGAGAAGCGGGGTGCATGTGGTGCGGCGCATCGCCTCCTATAACACCACACCTATTTTTCTCCAGCTAAAAAGAAACTCGAGGCTTTACTAATCCGCGGGGGCGCAGGGCGGTAGTACTCAGCTTGTGCAAGCAAACAGAAGTGTACTGGACTGCGTTAAAAGCCGTCTGCGGGGCCAGGAGCAGCGAGGGGCCGGGGCCGGGCGATGTCAGCGACCTTCCAGCTCCCTGGAGCCGCGGCTGGCGGGGCGAGCCGGGACTCCCGG